AAAACTGTCACTTCTCCTTCGCTTTGACTATATTGGCCTCGTTTGGTAGAGTTGTAGGAAAGTGATTATAACTTAACAGCATATAACTTGTAACTGTGAACATAAGCTAATTTTTTACTTATAAATTAAGCTTTTCCTCTCCCACTCAAAGAATAAGTTGATTTTTGACTTACAAAAAGCTATAAGCTGTATTGTTAAGCTAAACCAAATATATCAAAATAACTTAAATTAAGCTAAAAGCTGAAATAAGTTGGAAATAAACCCTACCAAACAGGGCCATTATGCCTTTGTTTGGGATATGGGTTGACTTTTTGACTATTTTAGTCTGGGACTAAAAAGTTTTGTTTAGAATAAATTTTTTTGACTTTTTTTAAAGAAAAAATGAAATGATTATGGTTTGGATGTGATGTTTTGTCTTATTAGACTAAAAAGTCTATTTTGTCTTTTTATGACTATTTTAGTCCAAGCCTAGCATGCCAAACAAAGCCTATATATCAACAATATGAGATGTTCCAAAATTAAGCTAAAAGCTAAAATAAGCATTTTACGAATAACAAAAGTTATTGGGATAAATTATGCAAATGGTCCCTGTAATTTACATGAGGTGTCAATTTGATTCATGTTGTTTCAATTTGCTCAATTTTGTTCCTTAATTTAACAGATTGTGTCATTTTAGTCTAATAAATAACGATTGTTAAGTTTGGTGGACGGAAAGTCTATACAATGTGTTAATTTGATCCCTATTGTTTTAATTTGTTTGATTTTGATAGGGACCAAATTGACATATTATGTAAACTACAGGGACCAAATTGACACATAGTTTGACTTTCCGTCTACCAAATTTAACAAACATTGTTTATTGGATTAAAATGACACAATTCGTTAAATTAAGGGCAAAATCGAGCAAATTGAAACAACATAAACCAAATTGACTAATCATGTAAACTACATGAACTATTTGTGTCATTGAACCAGATCTCTGAAATTGCAACGAAGAGTGTACGCGAGTGATATGTAGTCATATATATGTAAATATACATACAATACTCCAATCAAGTTTTCCTCTTTCTTTTTATCGTATTCGGAAACCCCCCGTTTATTGACACACATGAATTGTTGATTTTATTTGTTGAGTTTGATCTGCTATATTTGAAATTTTGGATTATCGTTTCAGAATTCTTGTGCAGTTGAAATTTGTGTTTGGTGATTGTTATCTAATTTATCTATCTAAAGAGGATTAGATGATGACAAAGAAGACGACTTGATTCAGATTACAAAGAACAGACTATCATAGAGAGAGAGAGAGAGAGAGAGAGAGAGAGAGAGAGAAGGATGTGAGAGAGTTAACGGAGTTAGGAATTAGTTTTAGTGATGGACACACACCTGGCACGTGTAATTGTTCATATTTTAAAATGAATAACTTTCACACGAGTCTTTTAGTGTTATTGTATATATAGGCAAGAAACATTTTATTTAAAATAAAAGTTCGGGGATTATGTTAGCAAATTTTGTCTTATTGTAAACGATATGTGATAATAGAAGTCTAATTCATCCCATTACAATTTTAGGGATGAAATAAATTTGTCTTTAAAAAGCTAATTTGTTGTAGTGGTAAAAATGTTTTGATGAGAAACTCGTTTATGTATAATATTACTTTACTAAAATATATTTTTCTATCTTTTTAAGAATCTTAATTTCATTTTCTCATTTTCTTTTCTTTTCGATCGGCTCTCATTTGAACTATGCTTGTGTTTGGCATTTCAATCTTCGACTAAAATAGTCATAAAATGATAAAATAGACTAAAAAGCCAATAAGACAAAATGTCACATCCAAATCATAATTATTTTATTTTTTCTCTCACAAAAGTCCGAAAAACTAAAAAGTTAATCACAAACGAAACTTTTTAACCCAGGCTAAAATAGCCAAAAAACCAAAAAAACCATTGCTGATCAAGGTTACTTCCAATTTCCTCCAAGTTGTGGCGTCATGTTACTTATGGTTGCCTCATCGATGGAGTGCTCATGATCGTTCAACATCTTCATTAATGACGTTTAATCTATTGCTTACATAAAAAACTGTCACTTCTCCTTTGCTTTGATTATATTATGCCTTTGTTTGGGATGTGGGTTGACTTTTTGAATATTTTAGCATGGGACTAAAAAGTCTTGTTTGAGATAAATTTTTTGACTATTTTGAGAGAAAAAATAAAATAATTATAGTTTGGATGTGATGTTTTGTCTTATTAGACTAAAAAGGCTATTTTGTCTTTTTATGACTATTTTTATCCAAACATAGCATGCCAAACAAAGCCTATATATCAACAATGTGAGATGTTCCAACTAAGATTGTACGGTGGTTGGAGAATATACCATTGTGACACTTTTGTATCTACTAACCTCCTAATATTTTGTTAGCAGTCCTTATTTAAGATTTTATTATGAGTATATATGGTGTGCCAAAATATTTGCGAAAGCAATAGCATTAGACTTGTCTAAGCCTGGTCTAAATACTTCAAAGGTTACTACACTATTCATTATCAATTAATTTTGAGTTAGATGTTTTAACATAGTGTTAGCAAAAATCTGGTTTGGGTGTGATATTGTCAAACAACAAACAAACCAATTTTCACAACAGGATCAAGCAATGTGGTTGAGTGTCTCAATGCCTTGACAGATTCAAGGGCTTTTTTGGAGGTTGTAATGTGAAGAAATAAAACAAATATAATTGGAAATTGACTGAAAACAATAAAACTTGTCACTTTAACCACAAGGATCAAATTCCAAGTCTTTTAGTACTACAATCAACAGAACTTTGAACAAACACTAACTGCTACTATTACTGTTACTCCTAGTTGCAGGTACTGCTACTCCTAACAGACTAGATTACTCCTAAACTTCTTAATGTGTGAATTGATTTTCTTGACCCCTCTTTCACCTTGGATCTCCAGCTTTTGTGCCACTGGTTATGCTATCCACATGCTGCCACGTGTTCCACCATGAAGCAGGTTACTTCCACTTCCTGAATAACTGCCCATGATCTTCACAACTGCCTCCATCTGCTGTAGCCTTCTCTTCTTTTCGGTTCCTGCGGATACGCCATGTGTCCTTCATCAACACGTCTTTAAAATCATGTCTCCACTCCTGCGCCACGTTTGGCCATGTTCCATCACATTGTCAGGCGTATCGACAAAAGAAACTGCTCCTGCCACTGTTGCATTCAATATTGCTTCTTTAACTGCTTCTACCCTGTCACTTGTTCTACCTATTAGAAACCACAATGCATCACCAACCTTGTGGCCCTTGCTCCTACCACATACTAGATTGTCTCTCCATACTTGGACATGTTTATCGACAGAGAAAATAATTTTTTGTACCAACGCGTAGTGTCAGAATTGAATCTTGAGTCGTCTCTAGTAGATTAATTCTTCGATCAAGTCTAGTATCTCACTTCATATTTCTCAATCACTTTCACATCACCTTTACAAGCTACTCAAACTTGGTCAAAATGCTCTAGAGGTTACTTCACTCATTTTGAATTGATTTTGAGTTAAATGCTTGAACATTTGGAAAGCCATCTGCAAAACCCATTTCTAATGCAAAATGTAATTTTAGAAATTACAATAACCAACCGTACAAATCTTTATATATTTTACAAGAAGAGGTCAGTCGTTTAAATTTTTTCACAATTGTGTGACTGATATTCCATGTATATTAGTTGAAGCTTTTATCTTATTTTGAGAGTTCTTTGTACTTATTATATGCTATATTTAATCGACTTTCTTGTTATGATAATTTATTGAATTGAATTTTTTTATTATATCACTCAAGTCTTCGATTGGTGGGTCTCGATAATTGAGGCTCACATGGGGTTGATTTCGGTCTTTAATTTTTAGGTTGGTGGGTCTCGATAATTGAGGCGTTCGCTTTCGACGTAAAATATTTTATATTAAAATATATATTTTTATAAATTGATTTTATATTTTTAAAAATATATATTTTATATTTTTGAAAATATATATTTTATATTTTTGAAAATATATATTTTTTATTTTTCAACGTTGGATTAACATTTGAAATAAAAATATTTCATTACTTAAATTTTTTTTTTTTGATTTAATAAAATGTTATTTATAACTTGTAGTGAGTTAAGATATTTATTTGAAAAAACTAAATGTGTTGAAAAGATAGTGAGTAAGAATCAGCTTTGTAAAAATTGGCTTATGAAATTTTAAATGGTAAGTTAATTTTGAGAAAATGATACAAACACATTTTTCTTAAAAAATATTTTACTTGTTTTTTGTTCAACCAAACAACGGAAAATGAGGCCATGTTTGGCATGAATGGTTTGGGCTATAACAGTCGCAAAAAGACAAAATAGACTAAAAAACTAATAAGGTAAAATGTCACATTCAAACTATAATAATTACATTTTTCTCTCACAAAAGTAAAAAAACTAAAAAACTCATCCCAAACGAGACTTTTTAGCTGCAGGTTAAAATGCGAAAAAGTTAAAAAGCCAACCCATATCCTAAATGAAGGGTGAGTAAAATAAAAATATTTTTACGTCAAAACAAATGGAGTCTTAGTGTCTTTTAATAGATTATTAGCAAAATTATTATTTTTTTATAAAAAAAAAAGTAGGATTTGTCTCTCATAATAAAATAAATTTTAATTTTATCAATTTAAATTTTAATCTTTTGAATTTTTTTTTTCAATCTAAATCATAGGTTAATTTTTGTTAAGTGAACTTGATGAAATAATAGTATTTTAATTATTAAACTTAAAGGAAAAAAATATTTTAGATATTTTATGTACACCTCATATTAAATTTATAATTAAAATACTCTATTTTCATCCGTTTTACTGAAATGAAATAAACAAATGTTGTAAATTAAAAATAAATCAAAAAATTAGAGTTTAAATTAACAATATTAAAAACTCATTATGATATTATATATGTACTATCTTGATTGATGAAATAATCGATTCATCTATTACAAAAAAATCATGTCAAAGTGGTTTACTGTGCTCTGCACTGCCCTTATGTGGTGTTGCTATTTTTGCGGTATCCCTGCTGCCACTTCTATGGCAAATACTGAGACAGATAGAGCAGCATTGGTGGCCTTCAAGGCTGCAATTGTTCAAGACCCATTTGGTGCCCCTTACTTCCTGGAATCATTCACTCCACTATTGCCACTGGAACGGTATTTTGTGTAGTCGTCGACATCCTGACAGAGTCATTGGGATAACTCTAAGGTCGCAAGGCCTGGTTGGATCGCTCTCACCTCATGTCGGAAACCTCTTCTTTCTTGAAATTATCGTTCTTCAAAACAATAGCTTCCACGGCCCAATCCCACAGGAGATGGGTCGCTTGTTTCAGCTACAAAGAATAGAATTCAGCAACAATTCGTTTGGCGGTGGAATACCCAACAACCTTTCTCGCTGCTCAAAACTTGAATGGCTGAACTTGATCGACAACAACCTAACCCGAAACATCCCAGCTGAGTTGGGCTCTTTGTCATGGTTTGGAACTTTAGCCTTGAGTACAAACAAGCTTTCAAGAACCATTCCTCCTTTCATTGGAAACCTCTCATCTCTTTTCCAAATCTCTTTATTTGAATGTAATTTGCATGGGGAGATTCCGGTGGAAGTTGCAAGGCTTCGAGGCCTGAAATATGTCTGGTTATTTGAGAATAACATATCTGGCAAGGTTCCGTCTGGCCTTTACAATATCTCCACCATCAGTGTGTTATCATTAGCCGAAGACCAACTTGAAGGAAATATTTCTCATGATATAGGCTCCACACTTCCTAATCTCAAGTTTCTTGATCTTGTCGGCAATTTGTTTACTGGAACACTTTCTACTTCACTGTCAAATGCTTCCGAGCTTGAATCAATAAACTTCGCTGAGAATGATTTCAGCGGGACAATGCCAAGAGATCTTGGAAAACTTTGGGGTCTTATATTTATAATTGTTTATCAAAATCGGTTGCAGGATGACGTCACTTTTATTTCGTCTCTAACAAATTGCACCAGTCTACAAGTTATTGAAGTGGGTAGCAATCTTCTCAGAGGTTCATTGCCTGACACCATAGGTAATCCCTCCACATACCTTTTCTGGATGAATTTGGAGATGAATCAAATACATGGAAGCATTCCTTCAGGCATCGGGAACCTCAACCTCACTGCCTTATCTATGTCAATAAATAATCTTGCTGGCCCTATTCCATCCTCCATTGGCAGACTTCATAAACTGCAAGCTCTGTTCTTGGGCCACAAAAAATTCACAGAACTTCCATCTTCACTTGGTAATTTGACTTTGTTGACTACTCTCACGTTGGAAGAAAACATCATCCATGGAAGTATACCTCCGAGTTTAGGAAATTGTCATAGCTTGTTGGAACTAGCCCTTTCTTAAAATAATCTCAATGGTTGAATACCCCCTGAAATTATGAGTCTCTCCTCCATTTCAATATTCCTCTTGTTAGATCACAATGCCCTAACCGGTTCTCTTCCATCAGAAGTCGGGTCTTTGACAAATCTTGGACACATGGATGTATCCTATAATAGATTATCAGGACCCATACCAAACGCGCTGAGCAATTGTTTGAGCTTTGAATGGCTTCAGTTTGAGGACAATTCATTTGAAGGAGAGATACCTCAAGGTATGAGCATGCTGAGGGGATTAAGAGTATTGGATCTTTCGCACAATAATTTGTCAGGGTTGATCCCAAGTTTTCTAGGTGAGATTCAATTAGATATGTTGAATTTGCCTTTTAATATGCTACATGGACAAGTTCCCACACAAGGAGTGTTTCGAAATTCAAGTGCAATTTCAATTGTTGGAAATAATGAGCTATGTGGAGGTATTGCAAAATTAGACCTTCCTCCTTGTCCATCCTCCAAATCAAGCAACAACAAGCTATCTCACAGGATGAAAGTGATCCTACTGGTAGTTGGTCTTGTGATATTTTTATCTATGTTTGTTGGATTCTTTATATTTCTTCAATGGCGTCATCTTTCAAAAAAGAAGACCTCTAGCACGCCATCAATCAAACATCAATTTTTGAGGGTTTCTTATGCAGAGATTCTCAAACCCACTAATGGATTCTCAGAGGCTAATCTAATTGGTGTTGGGAGCTATGCTTCAGTTTACAAAGGGATTCTTGATCAAGTTCAGATGGTTGTGGCAGTGAAAGTGCTCAATCTTTAGACCAGAGGTGCTTTTAAGAGCTTTATGTCAGAATGCAAGGCACTAAGAGCGGTAAGGCACCGAAATCTATTGAAAATTTTGAGCGTTTGTTCCAGTGTGGATTTCCATGGTAATGAATTCAAAGCTTTGATAGATGAATTTATGGCCAAAGGAAACTTGGGAAATTGGCTGCATCAAGTTGGAGTTGGAGACCATGAGCAGCTAGAGGAACCTAGAAATCTTACACTAATCTAGAAGCTGGACATTTCCATGGATATTGCCTCTGGACTGGAGTATCTTCATTGTGGTTGTGAATCGACAATTATTCATGGTGATCTAAAGCCAAATAATGTTCTTTTGGATGATGAGATGACGGCCCATATTGGAGATTTCGGGTTGGTAAAAATTATTTATACCGTTTCAAGTGATGTGGCACAAGGTCAAAGCAATTCAGTTGCGATATGGGGAATCACAGGCTATGTTGCTCCAGGTAGAAAATCTTTTCAGTTTCCTTGGAGTAGAAAAACTGAACTTGCAATAGGAAAAATATAATATACATATATATACACACACATGAACACATTTTAGCATAAACATACAAACCATGGCTTCTACAAAATAGTGGGCACCTACATAGTTTTAATCATTATTTTTATGCAGATTCCATGCCATTTATGAATGCTCCCAATGTGTGCTTCCACCTCCTCACTATTAGCAAACCAAGTACTAAGTTTACTTTGTTTAATGTGGTCGTCCTTAATCTTAGTATAAATATTACCATTGAAGTGTACATCATTTGGTGTGGACATGCTTAAACTTGGCTATGGAAAACTTGTGTTAATCCTCTGGTCCGCCTCTGTTTTTTTTTTTTCTTATTTTTTTTCTTATAAATATTCTTTATGTAATTTTAGTATGAAATTTTAGTTTGATCAAAATAGTCTGTGGTATCTACTAGTGGAAAGAATTAATATACTAGTTTGCTACCAAAGCATTTTCTAAAAACTTACTAATCGCTTGGAAACTTGTATAGTTGATTCTAGACGGAATATCTCATGCAAGACTAATTTTTGTTTCCTTCAATAGAAAAATACAATCAAACTATGTCATTGTCAACCATTGTCTCACTTAGTCAGTTACCAATACAAACAAAAATATTGTAACTGAGAGGGCAACAAAATTAAGGACATCACAGCATTAAAAAGTTTGTTGAGTTTCATTAAAAAAATTATTAAATACATCTATTGAGATAACAACTATGCCAACTAACTTGACTCATTTTTCACACTAACATTGGAAACAATTTGCAGAGTATGGCATGGGGGACATGGCTTCCACACCAGGGGATGTATACAGCTTTGGAGTTCTTTTACTAGAGATGTTTATAGGTAAGAAACCAACTGACAACTAACAATTGATACTTACCCAAAAAAAAAGAAACCAACTGACGATATGTTAAAGGATCATCTAAATCTTCATAACTTCGTTAAGAATGCATTGCCTAATCGAGTGATGGAGATTGTGGATCCTTGCATCCTATTGGGGCATGACACAAGAAGGTGGATTAAAGACTGCATGGTTTCGATTCTACGAATTGGGGTTGCATGTTCAATGGAATCGCCAAGAGATCGAATGGAAATGAGGAGCGTTATTAGTGAATTGCATAAGGTCAAAAATACTTACATGAATGAAGGGTTGAACCAAGACTAGGAAGTTGGAAGTGGTTTTGAAACATGAAACCCAAAGGTGTGTAGCATACCCTCTTGACCTATGCATATGCATATTGAAATAGAAAATGCTAATGCTACTGCAACAGGCAGTATAAAACACAAGTGGCAGCTTTATGTTATTGTTGCCTCATCAATCTTAATCTATTGCTTGATAAGTAACTGTCGCTTTCCTCCTTCGGTTAGATTTTATTATATCAAACATTTGTTCATGTGGGATGTTATGTTTCCAGCTAAGATTGTGTGCTTGGGATTACCAATATTTACTACTGTTAAATTAAAACTATCATTTCGTTGTATCTTGATTTTTCCTTGAAATTGCATGTCCATGTATCAAAAAATATTTGTTTTGTAGCTTTGTTTGACATTATTATAACTTTCCTTTTAGTCATGGTAACTCTATGTAATATAGACTCATGCACCACTAGCACTAGCACTAGGTGTCCAACTAGGACATATATATATGTGACAGTTGAGCTATCATGTTATATAAGCTCTACATTGCATTGGAAACAAGGGAAAATATGTAAAAACAAAATCTTGATATAGGTGTTTTTGGAGATCTCAATTGAGCCAAATATGCCTTGTCATTTACTGCAAAGAATCAAAATTCAAAAATACATATGTTAGAAGAGACACGTTACATAAAGAAATAAAAGATTATTGACTTGAGGGGCTGAATTCCACCAGATGACTCCGTCTGACTCTAGTAACAAACAGACATAGTTTTGGAAGGTATATATACATACCTTTGTGGCTCAGCGTAAAAAGCATCTAAGATGCTGAAGTGATTGGGTCCAACATCCTGCTGCTTGTTAATAGGTTCAGGAAAGTCATCTTGACAAAGCTGATGTTTCCTTCAACACAGAAAATGAGACTTTTCTTAGCCGTTGGCTGCACATCAGAATTGGAATTGTCTTTTTAACTCTTCATCCACAATCTCTTTGATAAAATTAGCTGAAAATCCTAAGTGATTCGTGATTAGATCAAGATTTAATAACTCCAATTGCCAATCATTCAAAACACACAATCTAAATCATCAAGCACTTATGAACATGATTTAGATTATTGTTTTCGAAAAAATAATAAATCGACACAAACTATTTTTACGTGGAAAAACCAGAATTGAAACACCTTCAATTGTGACAAAAAAAACCACGGGCGAAACGCCACTAATCAATCCACTACTGAAGAAAGAAAGATTACAAAGATACCAAACAAATTACCCAAACTCTTCCAATTTGTCTTCAAATCTTCTGTATATCTTTCACCGCAACCTTCATTTCAGAATTGATTAGATTGAAATTGAATTCACAACTTCTATTGTCGAATCAACGATTATGCACAGTATCAAACTCCTTTGAAACTCCAAGCTTGAATCTCCGAATTCCATCGAAGAAGAACATTCTTGAATATAACCAATCAACCTCCTTGATATGTGCTTAACAAAACAATGAGTTTAATACTCACTCAAATCATCAAGGAAAACTCACAAAAAAACTCCAAAAGAAAACCTCAGAAGAAACCCTAAGACCCTTAAAGAAGATCTAGGAAAAATAACCCTAGAGTTGGACTAACAAGCGAATTTATAGAAGCAGAGATCGCGCGGTCCGCTCGAGCGTGGGAATGGACGCTTGAGCGGGGACTCTATATCACATGTTCCAAACCAGGGTTCATGCTCGAGCGAAAAATCCCACGCTCGAGTGTACAAACACATCACCTAGTATTTTTGCAGACACACAAAATACTGTGAGAGTGAAAACTCCGCTCGAGCATCACTTTGTCCGCTCGAGCGAGAAGACTAATACAGAAAAATTACAACTCGATTACAAACTTAGTTTTTCCATGGATTTTGACAACAAGGGTCCTAACAATCTCCTCCTTTGTCAAATCCCAGACAAAACTGTTCTAAAACAATTTTCCGAACAAATTCCAAAACACGAAAAAAAAAACACTGAAATCAAAGACCATGAATCATGCAAGTCTTGAACAATCCACCCGAAGAGACAAGCACACAAACCAAAACTGTGGAAATGGACAAATAGCAAAAGATATAGATATCTAAAAACAACCCAATATAATTACCTATCCAGAAATAACAATATCACAAAATATCGTAATAAAGCATGCTTCAAGTATTCAAGTATGAACATCCAACATCCAAAAACCCATGTATCATATGAACATTGTTAAAACCATGTATCAAAAACCCATGTATCATAATAAAACATCTTCACTCCCCTTTTTTGTCCGGGAGAGAACAAAAACCAATATATATAAAAAAAAAAAAAAAACACAAAAAAAACCATATCTGTGCATCAATGATCACTGAGCGGGTGGCTGTGGCGGGGACTGCATCTGGAGAAGAGACAAGATCTTAGACAAATGAGTAAAAGACTGTGCAACGGACTCCTTAATGTGCCTGCATGAGGCCTTCATCGTAGTGAGTCGAGCATTGGCAGTAGTCTCCAGATCTATGAGCCTGGCCTCGAAAATATCCAT